AGCATTTGTGCTAATGTGTCAGGAGTGATGGAATGCTGGCCACAAGAATTTTGGAGTGGATTTCAGTTATTGTGATTTGGTTTTCAGCTTTAAGGTGGGCGCTTGAGCTCCCAGTTTGTATGCTGGAGAGTAGAGAGAATCAGATGCTGAAACTGCTGTGTATTTACAGAAGGGGTTTCAGCACTTGTACATGTTGCTGGGCTGCCTGAGGAGAATAATGCTACACTGGCTGTGTATAAGTGCACAACTGCTGCTTGAGTCAGTGTTGGGAAACCTCTAAGATCCAGGCTGAGTTTCATTGTCAAATACCTGACTTTATGAAATGATCAGCTGTGGTTCTTTGCAGGCTGAAGTTTGCTCTGAATCCCCTTTTCTTTCTCCTGGTATCAGTCCTTTATGCTGCTGTTCAGAAAGAAATCTGCAGCAGTTTGTAAAATGTTTTTACAGCTGTTTCAGTGTAGCTCATGTACTCTTTCCTCATGGTTTACTGAAAAGCAAGCAGTGTGTAAATGTTTCTAGCCCATGTCATCTCCTGCTGCTTTCAGTTCAGTGCTGGTGGGAAGAGAAAGTTTTAGCTCCTTCCCCTGCAAAACCACATCTTTTTTTCCTTCCCCAAGAAAAACCAAGCAGCTGTGTGTGTGTGGCAGTGGCCATGTGAGTGTTGTGGATTTTGTGCTCTGCAGACGAGTGGTTCAGCTTTGCTTTCCCAGAACAGCAGCACCACTTGCACAGAGTGCAAGCTTGCATTAACCCTTACAGGTGTGTTGTGTTTGCTGCTGTCACACAGCTCGTGTGATGTGGCTTGTGTGGTGGAGTGCTATCAGTTGCTCCTTGGCACTCACTGGAAGGGAAGCAGTAGTTGCTCAAGCCTGAGGCACGTTTTGCCCTCATGTGTTGTCCTACTTACCCCTGGGACTGCACTTCCCCAGGCTGGATGTGCAAACCACTGTTTGAAACCCGCTGGGTTGTCCACCATGGACAACTCTCCTTTTCTCTGGCTTGTGGGAGACCCACACTGATGTTGTGCTTCTGTTAGGCTGAATTTGTGCTTTATTGACACAGTAAGCTGAGTGCTAGTGTGTATTTTTGAGCAAGGAAAGAGTGTCTGGGACTTCAGGGTGTAAGCCAGCCTTGTGTTTCAGCACCAAGCCCTGCAATAAAGAAGCTAAATGACTAGAAGCATTCTTTTTTTGTATTTTGCTGAGATTAGCACTTTGCTTAACTCACTGCTTGTTTCCATAGGGACTCCATAGTAACTGTTGTAGGAGCTCTGAAGTTTATTCAGGCATTTCCAGGCTGACTTTATGAAAGTTTTCTTTTCTTCTGAGCTAATGGTGTGGCTGTCATTGACTCCCACTAGAATGGCTGCCAGATTGGTCCCATGTGCTACAATCTGGACTGCTGTGGTGCAGTTACCCCAACTATCCATTTTTAATCTGCCTTGTAGGGCTGTGCTGAAGCTTTATTTTCAAGCAACAACAATCTGGGAATCATGTTTGCAAAACTATTTCAGGTGTTCAGATTTCCAGATTCATTTCAGGCATCAAAATTGGAGATGTTTGGAAGTTTATTCATTAATTGTTTATTGCTGTCCTTCAAATGTAAGATGCTGGCTGTAACAGCACTGCTTGGTAAAATCCTTCTGTCTTTTAAGCCCAGTATGCTCTGTCCTGTCTGTGCTGTTTCCATCTCTATTCTGGTTTTTCCTGTCAGTCCCCTCAGGTGTTCTGCCTTACTTTATGTGCTGATGTTGCCCTAGGAGTGGCATATGCAGGGGGAATGGACATGGGGACCCCTTTCTCTCCTGAGCTTTGATGATTTTATGGGAATATAAATTCAGGGGGATGAACCTGCTGCTACTGCAGGGAAGGGAGAATGTGTTCTAGGGGTTGGTTTTGGAATCACTGATGCCTTGTGAAGGTTGACTTTAGAATAGAGGCTGGACAGAGCTAAAGAATAAAGTAGGGATTCATTAAAAGAATCTCCTCAGTGGATCTACCTTGGGCAGCACAAGAGCCCAGCCAGGGCTGCACCCAAGATGAACCAAAATGAACCAAAATGGACACCTGGTCACAGGGTCTCTCACTTTTATGAGTTCTGCTCCATTTGCACCTTGCAGTTCATTGTCCCATTCCAGCTTTAGCCCAGGCAGTCCCACCCTGCTTGTTTTCCTCTCTCCAGCCCATGGGGTTTGTGCTCCTGGGCTGAGATTTGGGTCATTTGTCCTTGGTGCCCAGCTGGAGCAGGAATTGTTTTGTCTCCCTGCTCTGTGCACAGAGCTCACCATGCCCTGATGCGAAACCCAGACCCACACAGTAGAGCAGCACAGAATCTGAAAAATATAAAAGCTAAACCTGAGGCATCATCACAAACTGTAACAAAGAAGGATTTCCCCTGATGACTCACTAGTAACTTTGTCCACTGTCTCCATGTTAACCTGGACACCAAATTTTGCAGCCAGCATTGCTACTGCCTGTGATACCTCACCAAAGATAGGTGAGTTTATCTCACAATAAAATGCTTATTGATGTGGTACCTCTTTCTGGGGGTAACAAGGGCACGTTTAGCTGATGTACTCAAGACTTTTTTGTGAGTTTCCCCATTGTAGCTATGAGCTCCTTTTCTCTGCAGGCCTTTGACTGCAAGGCTGTGGGAGGCAGATGTGCACCAGACTCTTCAGGATTCTCCATGGGGTTTGGAGGCACAACTGCAGGAGAGGAAAGTACAGAGTGAGGCATTACAATTTTAAACTCTTGTTGGCCCTTGCAAAGCAGGGAGGGGAGGTTTGTGAATGATTTTTATTGTTGCATGCCTAACAAAAGGGAAAAACAACATCCCCTCAAGCTTCCAAGCTGCGTGAGGTTGGAGCTGATCTGGGCTGGTTCCCCTGTGCTGGCCAGGATGGGTACAAAGTGGCTGTGACACTTTTGGGTGTTGGGTGCTGTCTGGGTGGAAATGAGATCATGTCTTGTGTTCTCTTGCACAGCAGCCTGCTGGAAGCTGGGATGCACCGAGGGTGAGTGAGCAGCTTACACAGTGATTGTGACAGGTCAGGTATTTCACAGAGCCTGCTGCCAGCTCAGGAACACTGAGATCTCTGAGACCCTTTTCCAGTCGTGTCCGTCAGAGAAAGAAAGAAAAGAGAGAATGAAAAATAAATCTGCTGTATTACAGACACAATGAGCTCTGGATCAAAGGGGGATGGAGTTTGAAAGGTGATGTTTTCAGTTTTGCTGGCCAGAGGGGTTGTGCCTCAGTGGCATGGGTAAACAATGAGGAGAGAGACAGTCCCTTTGGGAGTCAGTGTCTGACTTAACGAGCCAGCAGTTATTGAGAGATGAATAGAGGAGAAGTGAACCGTGCTTTCTGGCTGCTAGTGTGGCTCATTTTCTTCTTTCTTTTCTCTCTCTCTCTCAAAGATCAAAGGCCTAATTTTAGAGCAAGCCCTATTTATGGACTGCTCAGCCACTCTGTCTGCTTTACTCTTGTTCTAGAATAATGGAAAATAAATAGAGCTAGCAGGATCTCCCAGTGTCCAGAGCTCATCCCTGATGCAAGGCAGGAGGAGAAAAAAAAGAGAAAGACCTTTCCTAGCAGAGGTTCTGTATGATTTGTTTCTGCAGAGGGAGTTCCCCTCCCTCAGCTCTTTCAGTCCTTCCTCGTGATCAGAAGCTGCAAAAATGTGACCTGTGAGTGCTCCTGATGCTCAGCAGAGCAAACTCCTGATCCATGCCACAGCTGACAGGACTGGGCAGAGTCCTCTTTGCAGGGCTGCTGCTGAGTTTGGAGCTGAGTGTTGGTGTGTGTGCCTCTGGATTATCCTCCTGTAGATGCAGCCCACCACGATCAGCTGTACTTTTTTCTTTTTACAATAGCATGAGATGGTTGGGTCCACTCTAGGCTATGAACTGATGTGGCCAGACATCCTTTCTACTGACTGGCTGCCCCTGCCCTTCTCTGGATCTCTAGACAATTCCCACCACTCACTAGTTCTTTGTGTTTCCTCACATTACTTGGCACTCCCCCTTTCTTCTTCTCCCCCTGCTGTTTTTCTAATCTATCGAAATAATTTTTAATTGTTACCTTGTTCTGCAAAATTCAGGGTGACAATTGTCTGCAGTAGCTGTGCTCAGTTCAGCTGAACAGCAACTGGGGGGGAAACACATTCTGTGTGAGTGTAGTTTGAGGGTGAGCCTCTCATTACCCCATGAGAATGCCTTTTACTTTCTTCCTCTCCTTTGTGTCAGCATTTCACCGAGTTTCCTTGGGATGATGTTTCCATGGTCCATATCACTTGATGCAGTGACAACATCCTGGAAACACTGGTGTATTCAGAGTGGATTTGAGAGTGATGGTTAAAGGCTGTGTCAGGCTCTGATGGTGTAAGGAAGCTGCTCTTGCATCCTTCAGTGGGACAGTGTGATACCCACACTGCTTTCTGCCAGCTAAATCTCTCCTCCCCCCAGGTTTTGCAGCACTGAGGATCTTCACTGCTCTGGAGCTTTGGGAAAAGGGAGAAGAATCAGCCCAAAACCTCCCTGCTGGGAATTGCACAAGAGGCATTCCAGCTGGGGGCAGGGGTCTGTGTGTCTCTGCTCTTTACACGGCTGAAGCTTAATTTGTACAAAGCTGCAGATAAGGGTGCACTGTGCAGAGCTGGAGTGAAGGCAATTCATGCAGAAGAGCTGAGCAGAGGGAAGAAGTCTCCTAAGCCGTTCAGCTGCCCAGATTCCCGGCAGCCCTGGCCGTGGTGGGAGCCCGTCAGCCCCTGGAGCGGAGCACGGAGCGGGGCAGGCTGCGTAGCAACTGCTTTGAGAAGTGGTAACAATTCCCAAGTGGGGCAGTAACAAAATCGATTTTTCTCCCCTTCAGCTTGGCAGCTCTCCAGGTGCCTGCTGTGGCACAATGAAGTGTGCGGCTGGGGAGGGAGGGAGGGACTTTGGGGTGATGTGTGGGGGTGTGATACAAAGAGGCACAAGTTTAATCACTGACCCATCACACTGCATGGATTTATTTCTGGACTCAATTTCCCAGGAACTCTGCTATTGCACACGGGGGAAAATGCCTCTGCTGAAGTTTCTCTAGCTCCAGCTTGGTGAATAAAGATCTGTCGCTTTGGAGTTACTCACAGCAGCTCTGTCACTACTGACTCATCCATCTGCTTCAGGAAAATGTTTGCTGTCCACTTGCTAGCTTTCCATTTCACAAAGCTAAAAGAGGATCAAATAACGAAGGTAAGTTGCAGCATTAGCTGGTTGCTATTTTAGGAGCTGTGTTACCCAGATACAGAGGGGTCTGCAGTGAGTAATGCAGACCATATAATGGCATTATCCACTAAAACCATTCAACCAAATGGGGTAGGAGGTGTTTAGACCTTAAACCACCTGGTGAGTGTGAAAATAGGTCTGGTTAGTGGTTTTCCCTGCACAGTCATAAGTGCTCTCCCAGTAACAGAGCAAATTCTCTGCAGTAAGGAAAAGTGCTTAAGCTTTATCTGGCATGGTGTGGAAGAGCCCAGAGGACAGAAGGGATGGCTCTGGCAGAGTCCCCTTGCAATGTATCATGAATGATGGGATTTCTCAAGCTGAGCAGGAATCAGGAGTCAGTCACGTAGCAAGGACAGGGAAAACCCCTGTGGTCTTTGGTCTGGGTCTGCTGAGATTCAGGAGAGATTTCCAGCTGGTGTTGGGGTTCCTGTGCCTCCTCTGTGGTTATCCAAAACTGGCTAATCACTCTGATGTGTATAGTTGGAAAAGCTTGAGATGGCTCAGATCTGGAGTTATCAGTACTGGCAGTGAGCTGCCTAATGGTTGCTCTTCCCCAATCTACTTTCATGCCATGCTGAAATGGGTTTTTGGGCTTGTGTCCATCATGAGACCGTGTGAGACCTGTAAGCTTCATGGCTCAGAGGTCCTCTGCTTTGTGGACATGTCCCCTCTGTACTCCTGGGGTCTGCACTGAGTGCTGGCAGGTGCCATTGCTGCCAGGCTCTGTTCTCTGGTTTCTGGAAAGGTGGGAGCTGGGGCTGTCTGTGGGTGTGGTGGGAGATCCAAGGTGCTGGTGCTTGGATCTGCCTCCATCACTGAGCTCATCAGCAAAGGGAGCAGCTCCAGCTTCTCCTGTCTGTGCCCAAAACATGGAGTGGCCTGTTCTTCCATTAATTCTGTTTTGGAGAGATTCCAAGGGAAGTACTGGTATCTCAACAATCAGATGTCCCTGACTCAGTCATGGCCCTTTTATCCCTGGGATTTAATGTGATCAGAAAAAGGCCTCACTGCCCCTCCCCTCTGTGAGGAGCTATCTCTTATCTAGACAGAACTATTTCTTCATTCTTTTTACTAAGAGAGAGAAGGACCTTGTGGAGCAGTGCTTGGATGGAGTGGGCTTTGCAAGGAAACATCCAGCTTGCAGCTGAGTGAGGACAGTGGAGACAAGGGAGCAGAGGAATTCTGGCAAACAGAATTTTGCTGCTCTGGCAAACAGAGCAGAGGAATTCTGGCAAAAAATTCAAGGCTGCATTAAAAAAAATCAAAAAGTCTTTCTGTAAGGTGCAGACTAGCCCTTCCTGAAGGCAAGAAACCACATGCTCCTCAGACTTCTCCTACAGGCAGCCCAGGATAGGATTTACAGAACAGAGCCGATTCCTCGCTTATTAGAAAGAAATTTCTTCCCACCTCTCCCTCTCCAGGCTTATTTACTCTGTGGTGGCAAAACCAAGAGCCTCCTGCCATGAAAACAGAGCTGTTTCCATAAATGAGGCAAGGCCCTGTTCCTGTGCCATGGGAGGGGGTTGACCAGTTTGGTTTAGCACAGCCTGGCCATTCCTGTGCTCACCAGTAAATGGTTCTGAGAGCAGGGCCTTGCTCAGGCTGTGAATCAGGCTGGAGAGCAGCAGGATTTCCTGGGCTCTGCCTTATCTGGTTCCTTGGAAAGGACTGTCTGCTCCTGTGGTTGTAGGTAAACAGGGTGGGGAATGCAGTGTCTGGGCAGCAGGGAGCTGGTGCAGGTTCTCTGCAAACAGACACAGTAATTTTTATTACTCTTGAGAGCTTTTCCCCCACAGGGGTTTCTGTCACATTGCCATTTGGGTCTGTGTCAGAGTGCATGAGTGCTGCATGTCTCCAGTCACTGCATTTTCTCCAAAAAACCAGTACAGGTGCATAAGCTAAGATGATGGATCCTACACAGTGGTGGAGCTTCAAAAAACCATTGGAGGAAATGAAATACTTGCACAAACAAGGGCTACAAAGACAAATCTGAATAACAGCCTTTTCAAGGCACAGCTGTATCCAAAGGCAGCTGCTGCTCTGGGACAATTGGATGTTGTAGTTTAACATTTTCTCCTCTCTGTGTCTGTTAAGTGAGTGCTGGAGTGACTTTCAGGATCCTGGCTCTTTCTGGTGGGTTATTGCTGACCATCAGTTTAAAATGGCACTGTGAATAGGTAATTAGTTTGTACCTCATGAAAATAGGCAGTCAAATAGTCCAAACTGCAGCAGAGACCAACTTATCTACAACCTGCACTGCCCTCTGTTTAAGCAATGCAGCCTTTTAAATCCAGCCATGGTGGGACTTTGTATGTATGTGTGTGGTCCTTAAGGAAAAAACCTTTCACTTTGTCCTGATGAAGCTGTTCATAAACACTGGTTAACTTCTCTGCCAGTTTATCTGAGCTGCTTCATAGATATTTGGAATTCTTTTCTATTCAACTGCCTTCTATTTTGATGTATTCTGTGAGTTACAGACCTTTAACAAAGGGTATTGATTGTACCCAAAAAAATGTGTTTTAGATGTAATCCTAGAATCACAAGAGAATGGAGAGCAGAGCTGGAGTGGGAAAAAGGCTTTGAGTTCCAGCCTGGCATGCCAACAAAGTTAATTGTCTGTGGAGTGAAGCAGTAGCTGAATAGACATTTTTGGGTTGTGGCTGACATGCTTGAGTGCTGATGGCATTTTCTGGAGAGGTCAAATTCTCACCAGATTGACACACTTTGCAGTTCTAGCTCATTACATCTCTAGCAGGAGAGGATGGTGTGGAAACAGCTTGTCAGGGTACCAAGAAAATCTCATGGCTTACATAGATTGTCAAGTTACTGAGCCATCAGAAGAGACGGCCAACTTTTGGGCAGTGATTCACCAAGGCTGCACTAAACATTTCCAAACCAAAGTTTCTTTAGAAGAGTGAATGCCCTGATGATGACCTGGAGCTTGCTTACAATGGCAATCATGAGAACTTCAGTGCTGAGGTCGAAAATGTGTGGTGGTGTCTGAGGGGGTCACCAGGACGAGGGAAGAGATGAGAATCTTGACTCCAAGTTCTCAGAAGGCTGATTTATTATTTTATGATATTTTATTAAAAGAAAATGATATACTAAAGAAAGAGAAAGGAGACATCAGAAGGCTAGCAAAGAATGATAATGAAAGCTCACAACTGACTTCTCAGAGTTTGACACAGCTGAATTGGGATTGGTCATTAAGTAAAAACAATTCACAGGGAACCAATCAAAAATGCACCTTTTGGACCTCCAAACCACATTCCAAGCAAGCAGATAATTATTGTTTACATTTCTTTTCTGAGGCTTCTCAGGAGAAAAATCCTGGCAAAAGGATGTTCATAAAATATGTCCGTGACAGAAAATGAAGCGAACAAGCAGCGCAAGGAGCCTGCATGGCTGAGTGCCACCTTCCCTCCCTGCAGGTGGACAGGTTCCTGCACCAGCTGCGCCTCCCTGATGATGTCCTGCAGGATGTGGCAGCTCGTTTCCAGGCTGAGATGCTGAAGGGGCTGGCCAGGGACACCAACCCCACGGCAGCAGTGAAGATGCTGCCCTCGTTCGTGCGCTCGCTGCCCGACGGCTCAGGTGGGTCCCTGCTCAGCCCTGCTGCCAGCAGCACAGCACACACACACACACACAGGGCAGCCAGGTCACTCACTGAGAACGTGTGTGTGCTGATACTGAGCCTGGGGAGGGCTGGCATGGTGGGGAAGATGAAACAGGAAAGTCTTATAAATATGATTGCCTGGCAAAAGATTTTGAGAATATGGAAACTGTAAGTGAGATGGAAATGAAAGCAAGCTTTGAGATACCTCAGTTACTGAACAACTGGAAAACAATGGTGTGGCTGCCTGCAAGTAATCCCCTTTTGATGGAACAACACCCTCTGCTTGCAGACAGACCCCAGGGTCAGAGCAGACCCTGCAGCTTGGCAGAAGGGGCCCAAAGAGGAGTTTTTAGGGTTTAAAATGTAACACAGTGTGGTAATGTAGTGATTCTTACAGGCTGTATGGAATTGCTGTAGGATTTGTATCTTGTACTAGATTGGTTAGTGAGAATCAGAATATTCAACACAGAAGAAGATTTATTGTTTTGTAACGGGAACCTTGCTCTCTTACCCTTTTACTCTCTTATGCCTCTTACTCTCTTACCCTTTTACTCTCTTACCCTCTTACTCTCTCACCCTCTCATCCTCTCTGCCCCTTTCTCTCTCTGGGGCCTGCTCTGGGCTGTGGCTGGCAGCTCCCAGCAGGGCCCTGCACCCAGGCCCTCTGCAATAAACCCCAAATCCCAGCAGGGCCCTGCACCCAGGCCCTCTGCAATAAACCCCAAATCCCAGCAGGGCCCTGCACCCAGGCCCTCTGCAATAAACCCCAAATCCCAGCAGGGCCCTGCACCCAGGCCCTGTGCAATAAACCCCAAATCCCAGCAGGGCCCTGCACCCAGGCCCTCTGCAATAAACCCCAAATCCCAGCAGGGCCCTGCACCCAGGCCCTCTGCAATAAACCCCAAATCCCAGCAGGGCCCTGAACCCAGGCCCTCTGCAATAAACCCCAAGTTCCTGACCTGGCTGCAGAGATCTCTTGTGTCCGTCTGTCCCGACTGTCCTACCCCCGTCACTCCTACACTGGCAGAGTGGTTTTTCCCTTGCACCAGGTGGATTTTGGCCTGGAGCCGCTTGTTTGAGGAAAGGAGCTGGGAAGTGCTCAGGAGCAGCTTGTCCCGTCTGTCCTAGTGCAGGCCTTGCTGCAGGAGCTGTGGTGGACATGGCAAGGGCAGCCTCTGCAGCCCAGAGCCTGCAGTGCACTCTGCTGGGGCTCTGGGATGTGTGACCTGGCCTTGGAGCTGCAGGGAGGGCAGGGTGCTGCAGTGAAACCCCTCAACCTGCCAAGGGACGGCAGCAGGGCATCCTCAGAGCTGGGACCCACAAATTCTGCACTGCTTCTGCTAATTCCCCAAAAAAGTGATCCCTTCTGCCCTTCCTTCCTTGCCTTCTCCATTGGAATAAACTGCTCCTCAGTGGGATCTGCCAGGAACTGCTCTGCTTCTTCAGCTGAGACTTGAACAGAGAAAGTGCAGTGGTGTCCTCTGGGAGGATGAGATAGGAACTAAAAGCTCATCTTGTTTGGAGAAGCAAGCACACCCAAAATAAAACTCCTCAGCTGGCTCCTGGCAGTGCAGGCTGACAGAAAATGGCATTTTCCCCAGGTTTAACCAAGTTAATTTGTGCAGGATTCTGTGTCTCACCGAGATCAGGACTCGGTGTAAACCAGCTGTGCAGAAAGCTGAAATGTTAGCTTTGTACTTTTCCACATGACTTTGTTCCCTCTGATGGTAATTTCCCTGCAATTAAATGAGGAATAACAGCTTTCATGGCATAAAAAAGGCATTTGAAGGCAAGTGCCTTGAAATGAGGCATGTCTGAGAGAAGTTATACACAAACGGATGGAAGGGGGCACTCTTCCTTTGCTGCTAGTTTTGCCAAAGAGAAACAAGTCCTTTTTTAACCCTTGCCATCTCAGTGACAGTCACTGGTCACTGGTCCTGGGGTCTCACAGGTCTCAGATGTTGTTTTGGAACAGCAGGGAGCCCCTGAGGCCAGGAGACCTGGAAAATTGCATGTAGTGTCATCAGCAAGAGCTGATGTCTCCCAAGGCCAGGCTTGGATGGTCTGTGTGGCCTTTCCTGTGTGCCAAGGACATGCTGCAGCATCAAGCTGGGCCATATCCTATTGACACACTGCCCACTCCAAGTATCACACTGATTTTTCTATTTTTGCCCTCTGGAAAAATCCTTGTTGGTTATTTTGCTGCCAGACTGGTTAAAAATTCCAGCAGGTTTAAACCACTCAAACTTGGATGGTTATTCCTCCATTATTTATTATTATTATTGAGTCGTCCTCCTTCTCCTCCTTCTCCTCCTTCTCCTCCTTCTTCTTTTATTACTATTACTATTATTATTATCTTAGAGATTTTTTGGTGCCCTCAGTGTTGCTGTCTGAAATGACTCATTTAGAGCATCTTTCATAGTTTAGGGATTAACAGTCTGACTAATGTCACAGTTTACTGAGTAACCCAATCTGCCTCCTCACCTTTGATAGCAGACCATGGTATTACAGGTAGAATTTCCTGCTTCCTTCCCTTTCAGGACCAGATTTTGTCATGTTTGGACTGTGGAACAAAGATCATGCAAGGCTAGGCACATACCCCACTGTGTTTTCCTTTGGGGAAGGGCATTTTCCTGTGTGTGGGATAAACAAATTTTATTGTAGCAGCGAGGCCAAGCTGTCCTTCCATCTGAGGTTTGCTGCTGGAGATGTGTGTGTCTCAGCAAGCCTGTGAAACCAAATGGGGCTTTCACAGAAACACCAAAAGAAAAGGAAAAGGATTGTGTTGGTTGACTTTGGGTGGCAAATTGGCTTTGTCCCACTTAGAACCTGACTTCTGCACTAGAGCTGAGTCTTAACATGTGTCTGAAAATCCTGCATCCTCCACTGGATACAGGCAATGACCTTGTGCCACATTTCAGGTGATGGTTTGGCAGCCCCTGTGTGCAGGGGGAACAACCCAAACTGCCAAACAAACATTGAATTAGCTGTTACACAGCAGGCTGAAAGGAGAGACCTGATCTTGCTGAGGGTCTCTCAGCCCTCCTGATGCTCCCAGGCCCATCCAGGATCAGGATCTGCCATCCTGGGGCAGGAGAGGCTCTGCCTGTGCTGAGGGAGGGCCCTGGGCTGTGCCCATCAGCAAAGCACCTTGTTAAACCTTTGCTTTTTTTGTTAGGGTCAGGATTAAATGTGGGAGATGGTATTTCTTGTTCAGATTCAGATGTTTGTTAGTTCTTATTTATGTTACAGTTTTATAAACTGTCAGTTTTACAGCACTTCACTCTAATAAACTAAAAAATGGAGACCTCTCTCTTTACAAGGCTTTTCAGGGGTAAACTGTCTAATTTAAAATTAGACAGTTTACCCTTAAAAAACAAAAAATGACACTTAAATTATTTTTACTTTTAACTTAATAACTCACTATCTGTGGCCCACAATGTGGACTCTTTAATCTAATTACATAATAATACTTAAACTTGTGAAGAAGAAGGACTAGCTTCTGTTTTAAAACTTCTATCTTGTTTTATGTGTATTCTATCTTGTTTTATATATCTTAATATATTCTGAAACTTTAAGTTTTCTACTATGTGATATTACACACTTCTATTAAAAACTGGAGACCTATCTCTCTCTCTTTACAAGGCTTTTAAAAGATAAACTGTCTAATTAAGAAATGGCACTACAATTATTTTTACTTTTGACTTAATAACTAATTATCTGTGGCCTGCAATGTGGAGTTTTTTATCCAATTACATAATACTACTTAAACTTGTGAAGAAGAAGGACTGGCTTCCGCTTTTAAACTTCTATCTTGTTTTATGGATATTCTATCTTGTTTTATGGATATTCTATCTTGTTTTGTTTTATGTATATTCTATCTATATTGTTTTATACATATTCTATCTTGTTTTATGTATCTTACTATATTTTAAAACTTTAAACTCTAAGTTTTCTATTCTGTGATATTACACATTTCTATTCAAACTACACGCCAATGATTTCAGTCCTATTATTTAATTTTGGAAGTCTTCTATACAGCCTTAGGTTAAATGTAGTGTTCTTTTGGGGGTCAGTGCCTGTCAGCACACAAGGTCCCAGATTCCCAGTTTCCAGGTTCCAGCAGCCCCTGGCCATCTCTGTGGCCATCCCAGTGATGTTGTTGTCCCCTGTGTTGCAGAGAAGGGGGAGTTCCTTGCTGTGGACCTGGGGGGCTCCCAGCTCCGTGCCCACCAGGTGAGGGTGTCTGATGATGGCAAGCAGAGCAGCCAGCTGGAGAGCAAGTTCTACCCCACACCCAAGGAAGTCACCCAGGGCAACGGAGCTGAGGTAGGGCACCAATGCTGCTGTGCTTTTTCTGTTTTCTGAAAAATCCTCTTCACCAGCATTTCTTCTCCTGGGAAGATGAGGAGCCCCAGCTTCTCCATGCTTTGCTGCTCTGGAATGTGGTCTGGAGATTGTTCATCCAAACATGTGAATTGTTTTTACTTAATGACCAATCACCATCAGCTGTGTCAGACTCTGAGGAGTCAGTCACGAGCTTTCACTATCATTTTCGTTAAACCTTCTGATAGATCCTTTCTTTTTCTTTGGGATAGTTTTAGTATAGCATTGTAATACAATACAATATAATATCAGCCTTCTGAGAACATAGAGTCAGATTCTCATCTCTCAGCTCATCCTAGAAACCCTCACAAACACCACACTGTGCTGCTGCTGCACCTGCCTGTGGGACACTGCCCAACCGTCCTCTCTTCCTGCAGCTCTTTGATTACATTGCTGACTGTCTGTCAGACTTCATGGAGACCAGAAACCTGAAGCAGAAGAAGTTACCTCTTGGCTTTACCTTTTCTTTTCCGTGCAAACAGACCAAACTGGATGAGGTAAGGTGCATAAGAAATGCTCTTGTCGAGCTCAGCTCCTTGCAGAGTCTGGAGAAGCTGTTGTGAGTGCAGGTGCTGCCCTGTGGCTTTTATCTGGGGTCATGCTTAAATAGCTCTTTGAAGAAGGCAGGGATGACTTTTAGTACTTAACTAGACCTGACTATCCTTCAGTGATTCATTTCTCATCTCAAGGCAGCAGCATCTTTAAGCTAAAGCTATTCTATTGCTCTGTCAGTACCCAATTCCACAGGAACCATGTGCCCTGCATTAACACTGTTAGAAAGAGATGTGCACTTCTGTCACACATTTTTAGTTTTTTAATCACTCCTAGTTTGTTTTTTTTTGTTTGTTTTTTTGGTTTTTTTTTTTTTTTTTATTTACAGTTGATTCTGAATAGGAAATACCTGTAGCTGAGCTGCTTGAAATACTTCTTAAGGAAACAAAAATTATTTTGTGTTCTCTCATTCTAGCCTCTCTTATTTCTAGGGGTCTGTGCTTTGGGCTCCAGTCCTGCAAACGCTTTTTGCTTAATGCTATTAGACTGTGATCAGCATAGGAAAGCCACATGTGCTTTAAATGAAGCACAGGGAGACACATTTACGGAATTGGGACTTTATGACTGTACCTTTTTGGCTGTGTTGGTACTGACATGCACCCCAAGGTAAGATGTGACTTGGAGGTTGGTACTGACAGGCGCTCCAAGGTGAGATGTTCTACTCTGACTCATTTTGGCTGAGTTTTAATAATGGACTTCTCCACACTCTTCAGTCTTGACTGGCTTTGTGGTTTGTGTGCTAAATTTGTGTGCTTTTGGGTCACTGCCCTGTTTCTTTTCAGGGGGTTCTCCTTGAGTGGACAAAGCACTTCAGGGTCCGAGGAGTGCAGGGCACAGACGTGGTCAGCTCCCTGCACAGGGCCCTCCAGAAGCACCAGGCAAGTCCATTGATGGCAATTTTTAAGGTCAGCAGTAAGAAATTATTAAATCTGCCCTTGAACTAGCGGACAGTCTTTGGATAACACCATATTTTAGTATTTTGGAAAGCCTTGCTTTTCATGTTTGGTGCTATTGGTAGCACCAGCCAAGAAATTCAAAACATCTTTCCATATCTTGCTGACTTTGTAGCAAAGAGGAGACTGCACAGCCTCAAGGGAAGGGCTTTCTGCTTGAGTGTGGTGTTGCTGCATGTTGTAGCTGCATTTCTGTGTGTTCCTGTCCCACCTGGTGGGTTCTGCTCAGGTGGCAGAGGATGTTGTCCTTTCACCCAGCACAGTATCACAACACTCACACCAATAATGTGTCACTTTTCTGGCAAATGAGGTGGGATTGGGGAAAAACAGATCCTTCAAGCAAAGAGGCTGGCGAAACACTTCAGAGACATTTGTACCCTCACAGGGCTGTGGGAAGAGTGTTGTAAAAGGAAGCAGTGTCTTCCAACCAAGGAGTTTTCCTGAATGAGGCCTTCAAAGTACAGGCAGGGAATATGTCTGCATGCTGGTGCTTTATCACAGAGGAGGCTTTCTGAGCTTTTCTCCCTGTTAATCACCCATCTTTCTGCTCTTAGGACCTAGATGTTGATGTTTTGGCCCTGGTCAATGACACGGTGGGAACCATGATGACTTGTGGATATGATGACCCGCGCTGTGAAGTTGGACTCATAATTGGTAATTTTTTCTGTTCACCATGAAGGGTTTTTTCCCCTCTCATTTGTTGAATTACTACAAATCTGAAGTAGGAGGGAGTTTCACAATAGAGGAAAGAGCAGGAAGAAAATGGAAAAAACAATGGTTGGATTTTCCAGCCTGGCTGCCTTCTGTAAAGCAGCTGTTTTTATGCTGATCACATTGCCATCAAATACCACAGTCTCCATTTTGTCTGGGCTCAGTTGTGACCAGCATACTAAACTTTTCTGCTGACTGTATAGAAAATTACTGTGTCTATCCAGAGAAAGCTGAATTCCCCTCACGTCTGGTAGTTAGTACCAGCTATGCTTTCCACAGTTTCTCCATTTCATGCACTATGATGCCTTTTATTAGGCACACAGAAGTACATTTGAAAGAGAAAAAAATGTTTTTAAACAAGTCAAATCTTAGAATAATTTCAGTTTTTTTTCATTCCCTGTGAAATGATGATTTCACGGGTGCAGGTGGCTTATATGGACATCCTGTGCCACAGGGTTATGTGTTTGTGCTTTCTTCCAAGGACAATATACTGACTTATTCCCAAACAAAAATCACACATGGAACAAACAGTGGTTTATCCAATGCCCACAGGGACTGGCACCAACGCCTGCTACATGGAGGAGATGAGGCACATCAGCCTGGTGGAGGGGGACGAGGGCAGGATGTGCATCAACACAGAGTGGGGGGCCTTTGGGGACGATGGTGCTTTGGATGATCTCCGCACGGAGTTCGATCGGGAGCTGGACCTGGGATCTCTCAACCCTGGAAAACAACTGTAAGTGACTCCCTGTCTGAGCTCCCAGAGAGCTTTTCCAGTGTTTGCCCCATTGGAACAGGAATTGTCTTAAGGGAACCTGAGATGACGTGGTGGTGGTTCTGTGTAATCCAGATCTTTCCCTTCTGGAGAGGGTGAGTCCCTTCCTGCAGCTTCCTGCTGCAGGCTGTTGTGCTGTGATTTCAGGGTTTACCTCAGAACCTCGGGTCCCTCCCCTGATAATTCCCTCCCAGGTGTGTCAGTCACCTCTCCTTTCCCCTCCCAGCACTGTCTGTCAGTCCTGGAATTCCAGAAGGCATCGAGTGATTGGCAGATCCTAAGGATGCCCTCTACCCCTGGGGGACATTGGGCCATCCAGGTGCCCTTTGTCCCTTTGTCCCTCCCCTCCTGTACCTGGTTGAGGGCTCCCTGCCCCTCTCCCCAGGGTTAAAGGAGCAGCAACCACGGGCTCAGGGAGTTCTGTTGGAGCTGGTGCTGCATTCAGAGGCCTGTGGGCCAGAATAAAGCTCTGGATCCAAACCCTCCATCAGGGTTTGGATCCAGAGCCGACTCCTTTCCTTCAGCATCGCCTTAAAGCTTCTCCACAGAGGGAAACCTGAGCAGTGGTTTCCCTCTTAAAGGAGGAGGCTCCATCCCAGCACCACCAGAGCTCCTGCAGGCCTGGACTTGTCTCCATGTGCCCAGATACAACATCCAGCCAGCCCAAAGTGTCTGTGGGGTGAAACACCACACACCCAGCCAGCCCAAAGTGTCTGTGGGGCAAAACACCACACATTGCACAGCCAAAAGTGTCTGTGGGCTGAAACACCACACAGCCAGCCAGCCAAAAGTGTCTCTGGGGTGAAACACCACAGTTGCCACTATTTGGCTCAGCACCAAGGGCCAGAGAAGCTCAGTATTGTCCTGTACACAATATTGGTAAATTCCAATATAGGAGCCAAGGGATTGCTGCTGCAGCTGCCCATGGGGTGTTAAATCCAGGTGGTTGCTCTGCTATGATGCTGTGGAGGAAAAGATCTGGTGAACACCTCCTGAATCCTTCCTGTGCTCTATTCCAGGTTTGAGAAGATGATCAGCAGCCTGTATTTGGGGGAACTTGTGAGACTCATTCTCCTTAAAATGACAAAGGAAGGTCTGCTCTTCAATGGGAAAGTGTCAACAGCTCTGCTTACTAAGGGCAAGATTGAAATGAAACACGTGTCTGCAATGGAAAAGTAAGAACTTGTGTTGGTCAACATCCCAGATGCAGGTTGTTCAAACAACCTCTCTGGAGACCTGAGTGTGTGGGACAACTGCTGCAGTTTTCAGCCTCTCTGATGTGGGAATCCTGGGGCTGTGGAGATGTAGTACAGATTATAAATCAGCTGATGGATGACTGCATGGAAAACTGGGATTCTGATGGTCCTCACTGTCACTCCAGGAATTATTTTCTTTGTTGTACTGAGTAAAGCTGTATATCTGTTCTTGTGCTCTCCTTCTTTGGACTGGTTTATCCCATTCTCTTCTTGACTAGCTGATTGGTGTCACCAAGTGCTGAACCCCAGGAAGTTCAGCATTGAACTCTCTCCCCTGGGTACTTCTGGGAATGCTGTGGGAGACACATGGCTGGTTTATAGGAATCAATTATCATGCTGTCTGATAGGTTGTGCCGTGGTCTCCTCTCATTTCTCTTTGAGCCAAGGTGTTGATTTGTAAGTTTTTGCATTTGGTGATGAATTCTCTTGTTTTGGGGGCAGGTACAAGGAAGGCCTGAGCAACACAAGAGAGATCCTCACAGAGCTGAAGCTGTTTCCCTCAGAGGAGGACTGTGTTGCTGTGCAGCACGTCTGCACCATCGTGTCCTTCCGCTCGGCCAACCTGTGCGCGGCCGCGCTGGCCGCCATCCTCACCCGCCTCAGGGACAACAAAAAGCTGCTGAGGATGAGAACCACCGTTGGCATTGATGGGGGGCTCTACAAAACACACCCCAGGTGAGCAACAAAGAGGATTTGATATTGGTTAAGAGCCTCCATCTGCACATGTGTGTGTGGCTTTTCAGAGAACTGCTGGTTTTGCTTCAGCTTTGGGGTGAGGGCTAAGTGGCTTTGGTATTGCAAAGCTGTCCCAGGAGCTTTAGAATTTGGAGTGGAGTTGGAGCTGGGGGTGCTCAGCCTGGAGAAAAGGAGATTCAGGGGTGACCTTATCACTCTACAGCTCCTGAAAGGTGCCTGTGCTCAGGTGGGGTTGGTCACTTTCTCAGGCAGCACTGACAGAAACAGAGGACAGAGCCTCAAGCTGCACCAAGGGAAATATAGGTTGGATATTAGGAAAAGAGTGATAAAATTCTGGATTGGTCTGGCCAGAGATGTGGTGGAGTCCCCATCCCTGGATATGTTTAAGAAAATCCTGGATGTGGCACTGGGTGCCATGGTTTAGTTGAGGTGTTGGGGCTGGGTTGGACTGGATGATCCTTAAGGTCCCTTCCAACCTCATCATTCTGTGAATTCTGTGAAAAACATGGAACACCTGGAATAATGGTGTTGGAGGAAATGCAGCTGATTTCTCACATGACTCCTGGGCCTCTAGGACACCTGCAGTTCACTGTGGGTTTTTTCTTTTCTTTTTTTCTCCCTCCACTACTTCCCTGTTTTTCCACCTGTGCTTTCCCAAACTGGAAACCTCCCCCAACCATTCCCCCAAACTGGTTGGAGGCCTGATTGCAGCCAGAGATGAAGTGAACTTGTGAAGTGAAGTTGTGGTGTGATTTCATGGTTTACCTCAGAACCCTGCATTCCTTCCCTGATGATTCCCTCCCAGGTGTGTCAGTCATCCCTCCTTTCCACACCCTGACCCCTCCCAGCACTGTCTGTCAATCCTGGCATTCCAGAAGGGTGTTGAGTGATTGGCAGATCCAAAGGATGCCCTCTACCCCTGAGGGGCATTGGGCCATCCAGGTGTCCTTTGTCCTTTTGTCCCTCCCCTCCTGTCCCTGCTTGGTGGCTCCCTGCCCCTTCCCTGCCCCTCTCCCCGGGGTTCAAAGGAGCAGCAACCACGGGCTCAGGGAGTTCTGTTGGAGCTGCTGCTGCATTCAGAGCCCTGTGGGCCAGAATAAAGCTCTGTATCCAAACCCTCCACCAGAACCGACTCCTTTCCTTCACCATCGCCTCAAAGCTTCTCCACAGAGGGAAACCTGAGCAGTGGTTTCCCTCTGAAGGGAGGAGGCTCCATCCCAGCACCACCAGAGCTCCTGCAGGCCTGGCCTTGTCCCCATGGGCCTAGCTGTAACACCCAGCCAGCCCAAAGTGTCTGTGGGGTGAAACACCACACACCCAGCCAGCCCAAAGTGTCTGTGGGGTGAAACACCACACACCCCGCCAGCCAAAAGTGTCTGTGGGGTGAAACACCACACACCCAGCCAGCCCAAAGTGTCTGTGAGTGAAACACCACACACCCAGCCAGCCCAAAGTGTCTGTGGGGTGAAACACCACACACCCAGCCAGCCCAAAGTGTCTGTGGGGTGAAACACCACACACCCAGCCAGCCCAAAGTGTCTGTGGGGTGAAACACCACACATTGCACAGCCAAAAGTGTCTGTGGGGTGAAACACTGTGATCGTGTTCACAGGGGTCTGAGGATGAGGGAAGAGACAAGGATCTGACTCCATGTTTCAGAAGGCTTGATTTATTATTTTATGATATATATTATATTAAAACTATACTAAAAGAGTAGAAGAAAGGATTTCATCAGCAGGCTAGCTAAGAAGAATGATAAGGTTAGCTAAAAAGAAAGAATGATAACAAAAGTTTGTCTCAGACAGAGAGTCCGAGCCAGCTGACTGTGATTGAACATTAATTAGAAACAACCACATGAGACCAATCACAGATGCACCTGTTGCATTCCACAGCAGCAGATAATGCTTACATTTTGTTCCTGAGGCCTCTCAGCTTCTCAGGAGGAAAAATCCTAAGGAAAGGAATTTCCAGAAAATATCATGGCTACAAAACACCGCAGCGCCGCTCTTTGGTTCAGCACCAAGGTCAGACAAGCCAAGGCACATCCCATACACAATATTGGTACTACCAATAGTAAGCCATGCCCCAAAGGGCTGTGAGAGGCTGAGGGAGGGTCTCTGTGTCCCTGCCAGGTACGCCCAGCGGCTGCACAAGGTGCTGAGGAGGCTGGTACCCACGTGTGACGTGCGGTTCGTGCTGTCGCGGAGCGGCAGCGGCCGCGGGGCCGCCATGGTCACGGCGGTGGCACTCAGGCTGGCAGCCCAGCGCCGCCGCCTCGATGCCACCCTCGCCCCCTTTCTGCTGCCCCCCAGCACCCTGCAGCAGGTCAGGGACAGCATGAGGGCTGAGCTGGAGTACGGGCTGAAGAGGGAGGCGCGAGGCCAGGCCACGGTGAAGATGCTGCCCACGTACGTGTGCGGGATGCCGGATGGGACAGGTGAGGCTGGCTCCTGAGCGCCTGGAAGTGCTCAGGAAAGCTGCTTGTCTGTTTTTGGTGGGGAGGAGTATGCTAATTAATCTGGCACATCCCAGGGGATTGATGTTGTCAAACTGGTGCTTCCTGCTGTGTTATCTGTTATCTTCAGCCCTATGCTAGCAAGCTTGATGGCATAAATGCCATAGGGAACAGAGTGCTATCATCGGTATGCTGTTCTGACTGGCAAACGTGCTAGGAGAACCACCAAAATGAAATGCCTTTCTATTCCTTCAGAGAAAGGAAAGTTCCTTGCCCTTGACCTTGGTGGCACAAATTTCAGGGTTCTGCTGGTCAAAATCAAAAGCGGGAGAAGAAGATCAGTGCAAATGTACAACAAAATCTTTGCCATTCCTTTGGAGATCATGCAAGGGACAGGAGAAGAGGTAATCTGGAATGAGTGTTTTACTGATCCAGCCAAGCCCCATTATATGGGATTACTTATGAGATTTTTATGCCTCTTCTTTCCTTCCAGCTCTTTGACCATATTGTCCAATGCATAGCAGACTTTCTGGATTATATGGGGATTAAAGGTGCTCGGCTTCCTCTGGGCTTCACCTTCTCCTTCCCCTGCAGGCAAACCAGCATTGACAAGGTAAGGGCTGCAGTAGCTCTGCATCTGCTTGGTGAATGACATCATTTTGGGCAAGGCTGACTTGTTGGTCTGGAGAATTTATTACTTTGCTTTGCAAATCAGTTGTGTTTCATGAGAAAATTATTGTCCTGTGTTATCCACCTGCCTATGGGAGGCAGAGCTTTCACTTTTTGTCTCTGGTAAGCGGTGGACATGAACTTGCTTTTGTTTTATAAAGATTTAACCCTCATGACAGCAAAATGAAGTGCATGTTTTTAATAACCCAGGAACCTCCTTATGCTGCCTTAACTCCTCAATGGCATGAGATAACAAATGGCTCCTTGTGCTTGCTCAGCTACAGTCCCAGGTTGTTTTCCAAGCTGTGCTGCACAGCTCTGACTGTGTAACTTCTGCACCACATTAGCTTCTTTTTGCTGAGTGGCTGTTGACAGACTTGAGCTTACTTGCTCAGCTTGGAAGAGTTGGCTTTTTGACAGATATCATGTCTTTTATCTTATCTGAAAAGATTTATGGATTTCCAAGAGGGGCAGGGGTTGTTGTGCTGCTTAGTTCTAGTCAAATATGTAAGATATTGGGGAAATGAGAGACTGCTATTTTATTGAATGTTTTAATGTCCTGGTGGGGTTCACAATAGCTTCTAAAGCTGGAAGTTAGTCTGCTCTGTCTCAATTTCCAGCTCACTGTTGAGAGTATAGCAACAGGACTTGGCCTTTTGTGGAAACATGAATTCATGTGCTTTCTGAACCTACAGACTAGCATTTAGGTCTTGACAAATGATTAGGAAGCAAATTCCAGAGTATTGATGGCAAACTGAGTGAGACACATCTGTATCCCATGATATGTTGCTCTGTGTGTTTGGTCTTATGCTGTTGCTGGAACTTGAGGGTGTTTCTTAATATCAGCTTTTTCTCCCAGTTATCTTCTATGGTTTTTTTTCCCCTTTGGACAGACAGTCCAGAGCCACTTAGGAAGTGCAAGGCTAATTACTTCATGTGACCTGGAAAACAACTTCTGTCAGGCCAGGTTGTTGTCTGAAAAGAAACAAATTAGTGTTGCCTGGAGTTGTGGGATCATACCAAATGTCCTTCAGGAAACAGCCCAAAAATTAACGGTAGATTCGTTAATGTTTGATGGGTGATTGATGATTTACAACAAAAGCATTTTCCAAATGAGTTTTAGAAGATACTGAGTGCAGTGCCTTGACAAAAAGCTGAGTAAACTTGGAGCCACTTCCACCAGCAGTGGAGTAACAAAGACACACGAGCACAGCCTGCACCAGACACCCACAGTAACCTGTCCAGGCAAATATGTCATTTGGGAAAAAAAAAAGCCTTGGGGTGGGAGGCAAGAAAAAGCTGATGCTTGCAATGTACAGTCTGCTCTTTGTCTCCACTCATGGCTTTCTTTCTCTTCTGCTTCAGGGAACACTTGTGGGATGGACAAAAGGATTCAAGGCAACAGACTGTGAGGGGGAAGATGTTGTTGATATGCTGAGAGAGGCCATCAGGAGGAGAAATGTGAGCTGGTTTTTCCTGCTCATTTTGGTGTATTTAAAGCACTCTCACTCTGGCATTCCATGCTGATCGTGACTTGTGTTTCAGGAGTTTGACCTGGACATTGTAGCCGTGGTGAATGACACTGTGGGGACCATGATGACCTGTGGCTATGAGGACCCAAACTGTGAGATTGGCCTTATTGCAGGTACAGTGGTGGCCAAGTGGCCACTGAGAGAGGGAAGCACCTATGTAGAGCTGGGCTTTGGCATCTCTAAACCAGCACCTTTTATTTGAGTTTGATATATTAGAATATATATATATATATATTAGTATATATTGATATATTAGTGTATATATTGATATGCTAGTGTATATATTGATATACTAGGATATATATTGATATACTAGCATGTATATATTTATATATTAGTGTATATATTGATATACTAGTGTATATATTGATATATTTATTAGTGTATATATATTGATATTCTAGGATATATATTGATATATTAGTATATATATTGATATATTAGTGTATATATTAATATACTAGTATATATATTGATATATTAATGTATATATTTTGATATACTAGGATATATATTGATATACTAGTATATATATTGATATACTAGCATATATATTGATATACTAGTGTATATATTGATACACTAGTATATATATTGATATATTAGTTGCTTGGGGTTCTTGGCAGATTTGTGTGGTGCTCAGCAGGAAACTTAGCAACATCTGCAGCAGATAAGTTCCTGAACCTGTTGGATTTTTGATCATCTCTCTGGTGGTGCCTAACAAGTGTATGCAGGGTAAAAGAACAAAAGCAGGTAGAGCATGAATTCTTGTTTTGACAAGTTACTGTGCAGCCAGGTCACAGACCATGGAAGAAGCAAATGTTTTTAAAAATCTGAATGAATTCTTGTTGGGCTTTTTAGATTATTCCCCCAACAGGTTCCTCCAAGTTTTGATCCAGAAATATATCAAAGCATAGAATCATAAAATGGCCTTCGAATTTGAGATGAGGCAAAGAGAACTTTAAGATGAGCACTGCAATCATCTTCCATCAGTTTCTGGTGCTGCTTCACTTTTCCAGCTGAAATCTTGTAATTTCTTTCCTTCCAGGAACAGGCACCAATGTTTGCTACATGGAGGACATGAAAAACATAGAAACAGTGGAAGGGAATGAAGGAAAAATGTGCATTAATACAGAATGGGGAGCATTTGGTGACAATGGCTGCATTGACCACATCAGGACAAAATATGACAGAGAAGTAGATGAAGGCTCCCTAAACCCAGGGAAACAGAGGTAAACGTGGTGGTCCTGATGCCAAGAGCCTGATGGAGTCAGTCTTCGAGAGACACTGGCTGCTTTTTAAAATGTGCTTAATGAATGAATAATCAGAAAGGAAATTTTAATATTGCATTTCTTTTGTTGCTTGGTAAGTAACCTAGATATAAAAAAACCCAACCAAAACCAACCAACCAACCAAACAAAACCCAAAAAAAGAAAGAAATAAGCCAAAGACATACATGGTTACCACGACACTGTTTTCAGCTTAAAGCATTACCAACAGTGCAGCTTTTAAGATTTCCCTGCAAAGTCTAGGTCATGCTTTGTTCCTCCTCTTAGGGTGATTTTTCAAAGGCAAAATACAACTGAAGCTTGTTGGGTAAAGACAATATTGATCAGATGTGACTCTGGTGAATGCATGCTGGAACAGGCAGGAGTTTCTCTTCAGTGTGGACTCTGGCTTTAACACAATATTCTGTTTAATATTGCAAAGGTTTTTTTCCTACTTCTGTTACCATTTGGCATAGGTAAATATATTGTAATTAATGTTTGCACTTGAAGTCTCTGCAACAGATTTTTGATGATTGAGAAATGGAGTTCCATGGCTATTGCTCTGCAAGGTTGGACTGCTTTTTTTTTGAGTTCATGGGGCATGTACATACTACTCAAGCTAAACAGAGCCATCTCTTTAAATGAACATTTTTATTCTTCTTTTGACCCACCAGGTATGAAAAAATGACCAGTGGAATGTACCTAGGTGAAATAGTAAGGGAAATTTTGATTGACTTAACCAAACAAGGGCTGCTGTTCAGAGGACACATTTCGGAATCACTCAGGAAAAGAGGAATATTTGAAACAAAATTCCTGTCTCAGATTGAGAGGTAAAGTTGTTAGATTTACATGGTTTAAATCCTTGAAGTCTTCTGGGACACCTAGAACACAGTCTTTTGCAAGTGTGGGGAGCCCTTTCCTTCAAGAAGTCAATTAAGTCAGTTTTCTTCTTTGTGCATCCCCCACCTCCAGAATGAAAGTTAAAAATAAGAAAGTGGGGAAGTCACAGAATTATTGCTGTAATTATATGAATTATCATTTCCTATCCACACAACTGGGTTATCTTGGATGCCTGAGCCATCAAGCTAAGTATTTCTTGTGGGACTTTAAACAGCACTTATTTAAGAAAGCAAGAAGTCAGCGATACACGAGTATGTGCGTACCCATATATCTACGTGGTTACAATAGGGTATTTGAAACACTTTCTGCTGTGGAAAGCCTTGAAAGGAGGGTCTCAGGAAAGTAACAGTTGTGTGGCTGAGCTGGCTGTGCTCCCTCGTGGCTTTGGGGTTAGGTGGCTAATTACTGTTCGAGATGCAGCCTAACATGGCAAAGGGCATGGCAGGAGCAGCTGTTCCATCTGAATTCAGTCAGAAACCAGCCTTGAGGGAACTGGGGGGTGTTAGAGCTGAGGTGGGCCCGTTTCCCTTGGCCCAGAGCTGTGTGAGGTGAGGAGCTGTCCCTCACTGCTCTGTGTCCCTCACTGCTCTGTGTGTCCCTCACTGCTCCGTGTGTCCCTGCAGTGACCGGCTGGCCCTGCTGCAGGTGAGGCACGTCCTGCAGCACCTGGGCCTGGACAGCACCTGTGAGGACAGCATCATCGTCAAGGAGGTGTGTGCAGCCGTGTCCACCAGGGCTGCCAGGCTCTGCGGGGCAGGGCTGGCTGCTGTCGTGGAGAAGAGGAGGCAGAACCGAGGTGTGGAGCGCCTGCAGATCACTGTTGGGGTGGACGGGACTCTGTACAAGCTCCATCCGCAGTGAGTGCCTCGGTGCCGCTTCCCTTTGCTGTTTGCTTGTTTCCACTGTGAGAACAGACCTGTGCCAGCTTTCTGCTGAGAGATTAAAAACCTGAGGTGGAGAAGGATCTAACACATTTCACTGCATTTTGTCATTTCCCTTTCCTAGCCAAAGGATCAAAAATTGTAAAGTAAGCTCCAATTGCCACTGGGAGGCTCTTTTCTCTGGGAAATACTTATTTTCCTAATACTTATTTTCCAGTGTTTTGGTAGATTTCTACAATATCTGAGTCTCCTAGATGGAAAGCTGTCTTGAGTTTTCGGAGTTGTTCACAGTATTCTGTGAGCAAGGCCTAGAAACAGCATTAGCTTTTGAGCTGGGAGGAGAGAACCTCCTTCAGGATCTCTGAAGATGTGGCATCATGCTGAACAAAAGTGAAATGGAGAAATAAAAATTAAAATCTGATTGTGTACAAAAGTTTGCATCTTTCATGAATAGGAGGAAAAGCAAAAGAAAGCAGTGGCCGAGGTACCTTGCTTGTAGGTGAAAACAAAGATCTCAGATCAGAGAGCAGCTGCTGAAACGTTCTGCTCTTCTCTCCCTTCCCTTTCAGTTTTTCCAGGATCCTGCAGGAAACAGTGAAGGAGCTGGCCCCTCAGTGTGACGTGACTTTCCTGCTTTCTGAAGATGGAAGTGGGAAGGGAGCTGCCCTCATTACTGCAGTTGCAAAAAGGTTGCACAACGTTGGACAGAAGTAGAAATGAGAGGCCAAGGAACCCCAGCCCTGCCAGGCGTGCGCAGCAGGGGTTTGCTGGGTGGTGGTTCCACAAAGCTTTGCCAGCACCAGCACACAGGTAGCTTTTATTGGGGAGCAGCTGCTTTTGACCAAGCAGGATTGTGGATTTTTGGTAACTTGGGTTAGGTGCTTCTGCTCCCCACTGGAATTATATCTTGGCATGGCACAGATCCTGTAGTGCATCTCCAATGCACGTGGGAGAGTGAAAACAAAACAAAATCAACCCAAATGTGTCTTTTTACAACATCTTAATTAAGCTACTGCACCATAACTAAGTTTATTACCAGTTTCTTAGGATTCTGTGCTTAGTTTTGTCTTGCCCTGGCTCGAAGAATATTGAGATTCTGATGTTGCATCTCATCTAGTGGAATATTTGTTCAATGCTTCCCAGGTTTTACAATAAATTTGGAGGTGAAATAAATTAATGGACTGTGGTCATTGATGCTCCCCCTGCTGCTGCACTGGTTGCAAGTGTAATGCAATACTTCCCTGAGGACAGGAGGCATGTTTAATTGATGAATGTAAAGTAAAAAAATGTGATTCCACAGAAGATCAGTTTGTGCCAAAATATGTCAGGGCATCTGAGTCACATAAAACTAAACCAGTGCTGCATGGATGCTGACTGTGACTGATTCTTTGGATCCTGAAGGACACAGAGAATGTAAAAGGAGATACAGAGTCTGCAGTGTCTGTGTCAGGGCTACACAGAGGGTATCAAACAGGCCACCCAAATAGTGTGTAGAGGGGAAAAAAAATCACCTAAATTTCTGAAAGTCTCCTCTTTGTTTTCCCTCTGTTATCTTCTTGCATGTTCCTGAGAGAATTGTTTCCATTTTGTGCAAAGGAAGTTTATCCTTGGTTTTCATTTTCTGTTGCCTGACTGTTTGTAGTCTGTTTGTAAATAAATCTGTGTTGTTGTGAGCCTTTGCTCCTCTGTCCAGTGCATCTTCTGAGTTGAGGGAAGAGCATGCAGGTAAGTGGGAGCTTTCTTAAATCTAAACCTTTAAACCCAAACCTTCCTTTAAATCTAAATGTGTTTGTGTACTCAGCAGCACTGCAGTGATTGTGAAGGGGTTTGTGGATGGAGCTCATGGCCTTGTGTGACCAAATGTCCCTGACCTGCTCCACCCAGGAAAAACCAAAACAATAATATGGCAAAGAGGGGCTGCAAATCTGTGTGCTGCCTGTTGTCTCTCCTCAAATATTCCTGTATCACTTTTAATCCTCTCTTTGTGGGTATTTGCTTCCTCGTGGGCTGGCAGCAGAAAGTGGGGCCAAGAAATGTGCTTGGAGCCTAGTTAGGTCAAAAGTAACTGTGGTGCAGGGGGGTGAGCAGTTGGGTTTATGTAATGATCTGTAGCAAGGCTGCTGCTGGGTTTAAATTTAGCAATCCCAAATTCAAAATTGGAAGCTACACCAGACTTTTGCTGTTTTGTAGTTTTTTAAAAAAAAACCCAAAATGTGTCAACAGCTCTATGTCTGTGTTGGAGTTACTGGATGGGTAGAAGATACTTGCAAATAATTTCACTTCTGAAGGAATTCCTCATAGTGCTTAGCTCACTGTACCAAGTTGTTATCTCCTATTACATTTAATGTTTTTCTCCTTTTGTCGAGAAACTTAGTATTTTACTTTATATTTCAGAATCCACAGAGCAGCAGAAGCCAAAGTTTCCTGTGTAATAAGGGCAGTGATCTGGAGTGGAAGTTTGTTGCTGGTAACAAACAAGTTAAATCTGGAGGGGCTGGGTGTAGAAGAAAAAAAATTACTCAGATATTGAGTCTATGTGAGGCCTAGAATAGCTATTCTAGGCTGTTTTAGGCCCCAAAGGGAGAAACAGGTATTTTGGCACCTGAAATCCTGTACTATCTGTGTGGTTTTGGGCCTTTTTGGGGGAGTGGGTTCTGCAAAAGTGCACCTGTGAATGAGGTATGTGCCTGTACATCTGACATGAGGTGATGCCCCAGGATGGCCATGTGAGCATGGTGCAGAACACACTTTGTACTTTTATTCTAAAGCCTGTTCCGCACAACTGGAATGCAGATCTGTAACAAAACAAGGTGAACCTCTCACAAATAGAAAGAAATCCTATTTGCTTTGATTTTTTTTTAGTCTTTTTGGGAAGTTAAATATTCACACACTTTCACCTTACACCTCAGCTGCAGTTACTCCTTTTCCTGCAGTAGATTAGGCCCACACAACGATATTGTTTTGCACGTGCAGTTTGTTTTTCCCCAGCGAGGCTCAGCCCTCCTGCAGTGCCAGCTGTGGCTCTGCTGCAGCAGGGATCCTGCACAAGGGGGGAGTTTTCCTCTGCAGCTCCAGGGCTGCTGCAGATGGGCCTGGGCTCCCTCTGGCAATGCAGGGCAGCAGAAAGCTGCTCCTCTGGGAATGCAGGGGGCAGAGGCTGCTGGGGTGTCCCAGCACCTCAGATTGGATCCAGGGAGGAATGCTTGGCTCCTCCCCTGGGCGGAGCATCTCCCCACGGGATGGTGGGATTGGATCAGCCATGCAGGGACACTCACTGGCCATGGACAGAAGAGAATTAATGATTAATGGCCCATGGACAGCAGAGATCTCCTGGAGGGAGGGTTGGTTGTGGCAGAGATAAAGCAAACTGCCAATGAACAGAGATAACTGCTCCAGCTCTGACAGATGGGGATAGAACACATCTCCAGCCACATCTTCCAACCTGAGACCACTCCTCTGCCATCTGTCCCATCATGGGGGGTGACTCAGCTTAAAGCCCTGGCTCACAATAAAAGTATTAAATTATTAAATGTAACGCAGCATATCCTGTGCTGAACAGGATGTGCTGCAGTTCAATACATGACATGGTTAGCCAATATAAAATAAAATGGAATTGTTCCAGTTTCACATCTTAGATTTTTGTTTTTCTACTTTTATTTTTCTACTCCTTCCTGGATAGCTGTGTGATGCTTCATTTCCACCTGCCTTCCCTCCAGTTAATACATTTAGTGCTTGAATTTATCAATTTATTTGTGATGCTTCTTGAAGGCATGAACATCTTTTTTCACATCTAGGTGACACATGCAATCCGGAGACATGAAAGATCTTTAAATCACAGGTATGATGTGGTAAAGTGACAGATACAATAGAAGCATTACTGAGAGAAAGAAATAATGTTTGTGCCTTTCAGAAATTCTCAGTAGATGGTTCCAGTTACCTTTTCATCCACGGGGGAAAAATAATCCTAAATATTTTGTTTTGCCAGATAGAGACACGTTTTTGGGGCTGCAGGCTTGGACTTGACTCATAGGCTTGGACCCTTGACTCATAACCCATAACAGAAAATGCAGTGGCAGCTCAGTGGTGACATATTCCCTTTGTCACTCTGACAAAGTTCAAAAGTAAATGTAGGATCATGTGGAAATCCTTCGGAAATCCTGATTAGCATGATCTCCCTTCTTGAGAAGTCAATATTATATGGGATTAGCAGATTAGTGTAAAGGAGTTTGAGGCTGACGTGTAGGTAATACCAAAATGAAAGTATTGTTCCTTCCATCTTTTTTGATTTGTTTATTTGTGCTTGGTGAAATCAACTGGCTTGGGTTTGAGGTCACCACAGAAATTAGGTGGTGAATGTTGTCCTGTTCTAGGTAAAGTTGCAGGTTCTCTAGAAATTACCGCCACTGCCTTGAACTATCACTGCAGGCTGATCCAGAGCATCTCTCAGACCTGTAAAGTCAGTAGCTTGTCAAGGGATAAATAAATCTATAGATATAAAATAATAATTATATATTTATTAATATAATAAAGTAAATAAGAACATATAGATATAAAATAACAATATAATTATATTTTATAATATTATAAAGTTATAATAATGCAATATAATATAATATAATATAATATAATATAATATAATATAATATAATATGAGCTATGATATGATATGATATAATATATTACTGCACACAGGTGGCCTGTCAAGGTGAGAGGAGGAAGGGAAGTAAGGCAGATATCTTCTTTGTCCCAGCACTGAATCCACTCTGTAAAGCAGATGTGGAAAGCAAGATATAAAATCACCAAAATTTTAATTAATATTTTCCTTTCTCTCATTGATACTATCACCTTGCAGGTGCACACTGAAGGTGCTGCAAACGTGATGGGTCATGTCTGTCTGAGAGGGGAATGCCAAAATAATTTTGATTTGGTTGTGCGCTTCTTTAACACCCTCCAGATGCCAGCCCCATCCCTGCTGAGCATTACACTCGTCTGTGTAAATGATGACAAAAACCAAACCAAAAAAGACCCCAAAAAAACAACGAAAACCAAAAGAGATGGGGAGAGACTGAGTCCTTTTCACTGCCACTATATTTTATTTTATTTTATTTTATTTTATTTTATTTTATTTTATTTTATTTTATTTTATTTTATTTTCTTCTTTCGCTGGAAAGGAGGAAGGCTGTTAGGAGAAGAGGGGAGAGATGTGTAAAGAGTGTGGCACATCAACAGCTAAAGAGTCCCCATAAATTTGTTACTGCATATCAGAAAAACTTGCAAGCCAGTCTTAATAGCGGGGAAAGGGAATGACAGCAGGGCAAGGTGTGAAACTTTAAGAGCTGGTAATTACAAGGACAATTCATGGGCATTAATTGAGTTAAGTGTGAAAAATGCCAATCAGTTGTTTTTAAAATTTTAGAAGTCTAATGATAATAAAATGGCTATAAAATAGCAATATAATTAGAGTAATAATAATTTGGACAATTTGGATTAGGACAATATGAGGCAATAAAAACAAAGAGTTACAGACAGTCCAGGTGCCTCTTTCTGGGCAAAATAAGCCCGAAAAAGGACCCACGTTAACAGAGGATTAACCCTTAAAAGCAACAGCCTGTTGCATATTCATACACCTCATCCATGATGCATAAATTCCATTCAAACACAGGATTCTGTCTGGGCAGTGTCAGCTTCTTCCTCTGAATCCTGACTGAGTCTTCAGGGCTGAGCGAGGTGGGGAGAAGTTCATTTCTTCTGATAATGGAGCAATAAATTCTCTTTCTCTGAAAGATCCAGGTGTCCTGTGGCTGCTATCTGGTGGGAGTACCTCATTCCTTTCTTAAAAAAATATCCCACATACAAAATTCCTATTT